AAATTTTTTTGTATTGCGATGAAATTCACATAGCATTTTAAATCCAACAATTCAGTGACATTTAGTACATTTCCAATATTACACAGTCACCACCTCTTTCTATTTCTAAGACATCCTTATTGTCCCAAAGTAAAACTCCGTGTTTATTAAGCACTCTTTAGTCCTTCCTCATCCCCACCCTCAGTCCTTAGCAATCACCAATTTGTGTCCATCTTCTCTCTATGGATTTGTCTACTCTGGGTATTGCATATAATGGAATCACGCAACGCTGAGCCTTTGTGCCTGGGTTCTTTCAGTTTGTATAATGACTTCAAGGTTCCTATACACAGTATGTATCAGTATTTTAATCCTTTTGATGACTCAATAAATTTCTAGTGGTATGTATAATGCATACCAGTTTGCTTATTCATTCATCTGTTGATGGACATGTGGGCTGGCTACATGCTTTGACTATTATATATTATATTAGTGCTGCTGTGAACTTGCATACACATAAACTTGTTACAGGATCTACTTTGTATATTTTAGTAAATGTGTAGGAATGGAATTTGGGGGACAATGTGATAAGTTTATGTTTGATGTATTCAGGAACTCTTATATGCTTTTGAATTCCTTTTAAAAGTTATATTGCTTATAATGCTACTAATATCAATATTATAAATAATAACAAAGGTATTAAATATTGTGAATTAGTTTCTCAGCCTGGCATTGTTGATATTTGGAACCAGTGGATTCTTTGTTGTGGGAGACAGAGTAAGAATTTTAGCAGTAGCGGCCAGCAAGATGGCTCAGTAGGAAAGACACCTATCAGCAAGTCTGATGACCTGAATTTGAACCCACAACCCACATGGTGAAAGAAGAGAACTGACTCCTGGAAGTTCTTTTTTGAACTAAACACATAGATAAATAAGCAAATAAAGTAATAAAGCAATAAATTAATACAGTATTTTTTTGGCCTTTTTGAAATAGGGTCTTCCTGTAGCCCCAGCTAGCTTGGAACTTACTATGTAGACCAGGCTGGCCTTGAACTCACAGAGATCTGCATACCTCTGCCTCCCAAGTGCTGGAATTAAAGGCATGTGCCACCACCTGGTCTCTGCCCAGTAGATGTCAGTAGCGTCCTCCCAACTCTAATAACCAAAGCTATCTGGAGATATGCCACATGTCCCTGGGAAGCAAAACTGGGCCCCCTTGCTATTGAAAACTATTTTTTACATGAGTACTGAGGATCATACTCAGGTTGTCAGGCTTGTGTGGCAAGCACTTTCACCTGGTAAGTCATCATGCTAGTTCAAAACTATTTTTAATGGATTCTGTGTAATCCTGAACAGAGATAGCTGGTGCTTAAGGAGAATTCTAAAACAAAGTAAGAGCCTTTAAGTAATGGAAGAGATGGCTCAGAGGTTAGGAGTATGCACTGCTCTTGCAGAGGACTTGAGTTCTGTTCCCAGCACTGACATCAGGCAGCTCACAACCACCTGTAACTCCAGATCCAGGGGGTATCCAACACCTCCTCAGGTACCTGCACTCATTTACACATACACACAGACACACATACTCACACATAATTTTAAAAATTAAATAGATGTTTTTAAAACACTTTATATATAGGAAATTGTTTACCACGTGAAGATAGTAAAGAGTTTTCAGGCTTACAAATATATGACCACCAGAAAAATATTATCATTAAATATTCACATGCCTTTCATAGGTAACTAGAAATATAGATCCAGCTTATCTACAGAACTCCAAGAAAAGACAGTTGCGCACTCCTGCCCCAGGATACATTACACACTAGTCACTTAGAGAGCCCTGCAATGCTTTTTCTTTTCTTTCTTTCTTTCTTTCTTTCTTTCTTTCTTTCTTTCTTTCTTTCTTTCTTTTTCTTTTTTATTTGGAGGTGGGGAGAGGGTATTTAGTCGTGAGTCTGAGCCTTTAACAGCTGTACCATCCCTCCAGCTCTCTTGTTGGTGTTTCTGAGACAAGGTCTCACTCTGTAACAGGCTTCTCTTGAACTCAAGGCAATCCTCCTGCCTGTGAGATTCCAGCTCTGGGATTACAGGAGTCTGCCACCTTGCCCAGTTCAAAAATGAACATCCATGTTTGATTTCTTCAGTCTCCTCACTCTGTGGGTTTAGCCGGGGACTGTACCTGGATCTTTGCCCTTGTTACACAAAGCTTTCTCCCCCTCAGTCACTCCAATCATAACTTTTCAATTATTTTTGTTTTATGTGTATGAGTGTATTGCCTACATGTAGGTAGGTGCACCCATATCATACAGTACCCATGGAAGTCAGAAGAGGATATTGGATCCCCTGAAACTGGAGTCACGGACTGTTGTCAGCCACCATGCGGGTGCTGGGAATCAAACCCAGGTCCTCTGCAAGAGCAGCCAGTGCTTTTAACTGTGAGTCATCTCTCCAGACTCCACCCCCACTATAATTTTTAAGATGGTAACTGGGAGCAAATCTTTCAAGTCTCTTTTTATATGGTCATATTTTGTTTTTTCAAATAAAGTCTCAGGAGGACTCATGAGGAATTTCCTATTGCATGCAGCAATAGGAAATAAATGGATATAAATTTTCATTATTCGTAGTGAACCCAAATGACTCTTTCACATTCACTCTGTAGATCTTGGTGAGTTTGTTGTAGAGTTGGAAACTTCAGAACTTGAGGCATTTGTAAGCCACATTACAGATATGCAGCAAAGAAGACAGGCTGACTCTTAGCGTTTGTTTTAATGCCAAGACTTGACCCAAACTGCTGAGAAACCGTTTCTTCAGATTTCTTTGAAACTGTGCTCTTGAGCGAGGGCTTCATTCATTTTTTAAATGAAACAGTTTATTCAGCATAAAATGGGGGTGGGGTAAAAGTCAGGACCCATCCTTATCTGAGAATCTTGCCCTTTGATCCCTAGACCTAGATATCAACACCCACACAACTACAGACAATTCTTAATTTCTCTCATTGTTTGCAATGAGAAAAGCAGACTGTTTTCAGCACTTTGATGTGTAAAGCATTCGTGTACACTATCTTGGTGGAGGGCAAGGAAGGGTCCTGGGGGATTAAGGTCATATGCCAAGGTCATAAAACCAGCAAATGGCTCAGTGAACTTGTTTATATTATAAATAGTAACATTTTGGTTGCCAGGTTAGGCAAAACCCTTTAGTCCAGATTATGTCCATATTGTAAAAGTTATTCCTACAAGTGCATAAAAATGTGTTTGCTGGGCCAGGCTGACAACATGAGTTCAGTATCTGGAACCCAGAAGAGAACCAACTCTTTTTTTTTTTCACTTTTCAATCTTTTTGAGATGGGGTTTCCCTGTAGCCCAGCTGGTTTGGAACTTGCTATGTAGAACAGGCTGGCCTTGAACTCACAGAGACCAACCTGCCTCTGCTTCCCAACTGCTGGGATTAAAGGCGTGGGCTACTGCACCCAGCAGGACTTGGAGCAGGGGGGGCTGGGATTAAAGGCGTGGGCTACTGCACCCAGCAGGACTTGGAGCAGGGGGGGCTGGAACCGACCTGGAAGCCTCTCCCTAAAGACCAGCTCTTATAGTTTTAGAGGATACTATGCAAACTGCTAAGGGAGAAAATCAATCAATGGTCCAACCCAGCTCTAAAGCTTAATAACCACAACAGCTCGCACAGCAAATTATTTCTATTAGTGCAATAATAACACTTTTATCTGGGGTGTAATCAACAGCTACCTAAATTGACTTAAAGTCCTCTCAATGGGAAGGAGCTCATGGATGGCATTATAAATATAGCCAAATACTCATGGCTGGAAAGAACATAGATCCTAGAGAAAACCCTATCTCTGGCATATCTCTAGACAAATGAACTTTCTTACTGTTTGCCAAATATGGATCCTTATATTTTCAGACAAGCATACTATATACCACTCGTCAAAGAAGCTTCTTTTTGCAACAGATGGAGGCTATTACAGAGTTCCACAACTGGTCACACACAGGAAATATATGTCTGAGAGATGCCCAGCCCTAAGTGACACATCTACAGTAGAACTTCTACACCTAAGGCTCATGGAACATAGTGGAACAGAGGGTAGGGAGAATACTAATATATCCCTCAACTTTCACCAGCAAAGCTTCCTCATACAACACAGAAAGACACAACTGGATACGTTTTAGAGAATAAGAAACTGCAGCATGTATGCCCCTGGATAGGACTCCTTTATTAAACCTCACCCACCCATGGTTCAGGGACCATTGTAGACGAGGGGGCGGAAAGATTGTACTAGCCAGGGTTGGTGCGTGAACATAAAGAAACAGGGGCTTTTCAGGCCACTGGAAACCTGCTCATATGAACTTGCAGCAATAGTGACAGCATGCACAAGACCCATGCCAACTCAATCAGACAGAAACACAGCATAAAACAAGGGAAATGTGCAGCAGACCTCAACCCTAGCCTAGGAACTATTGGCAACTGATTACTGCAGGTGAGGGAGAGTAGATATTCTTTTTGTAAATTTTATTTATTATTTTTATTTTTTATGTGTATGCATGTATTGCCTGCTTGTAGGTAAGTGCACCCGTGTCATGCAATGCCCACAGAGGTCAGAAGAGGCTGTCAGATCCCTTGGGACTGGAGTTACAGACAGTTGTTAGCTGCCAATGGGTGCTGAGATTCAAACCCACATCTTCTGCAAGAACAACCAGTGTTCTTAACAGCTGAGCCGTCTCTCCAGCCCCAAGAGAGTAGATATTCTTTAAGGGAGACACTTTAGATAGGCTGACTAGGCTCCAGTGGATGAACTTGCACCAAAAGACATCTTGGTACAAATATTTGACTGGAAAGGACTTAACATATATGACAGAATGCATGAAATTGGTTGGTGGGGGCGATGGGAGGCACAGATGGGGGAGAGGGTCTAATTTGGTTAAGATCTATTATAGGAAATGCACAAAAAACTCAAAAAGTTTTTAATTAAAAAAAATGTGTTTGATACAAATTAAATAAGTACTGGGCCAGCCAGCCTTAGAAGCAGACAGCACTGGTGTAGAATTCACAGCAGTTTGCCAAGGCCCTGGCACTGAATTCCTTGTCTTCCCAGGGACCTGAGAAGGAAGGTGGGTTGGTACCGTTCAGCCGCGTACTGAAACGAAAAGCCAGAGACACGCAGTGGATCAGAGAAAGGCAAGGCAACAAGATGTACCAACAAGGGTTACCAAATAGCTGAAAACAAAACCCAAAATCTATGAATAAATCTGTCAGCCACAACCAAACAGGATCCAGTTAAATGTTTTCTGTCATTTATACCTTAGTTACTACAACCAAGAACTCTGTTCAATGTGTCTGCATCTGTGCCCAGTTCCTAAACATAGTCTATTTCAAAATTTCCTTTCCAGATAGCTGAGGCAAAATTTATGCCTTGTAATGATCTAGAATTGAATATTTCCTAAAGAAAAAAAAAAAAAAAAAAAAAGCTGACAACCGAAGGCCATTTTCCTCTTGAGAAAGAAAAACCACTGACACTTAATTAGGCAAAGGCATTTCTTTCAGATTCTAGTTGTTAATGACTCTCCGGATGTAGCTTTTAGGAAATCCACTGAGAATAATATATAAATCAGAACTGTGCCAGACTAATGATCTATCCAGCTTCTAAATTCCTCTTTAATGGTACATCAAAAGGACACTGGTTGCCTCTAATGATAATCTCCAAGCATAGGCACACTGGCATTCTATTCCTTTTACTTCATTTCTTAACTCACTGATCATCTAACATCACCTGAATAACTACCCCCATAGTGAACAGATCACTTACTCATGGTAACTGCCTAAGCAGTCTCCAGCTCTAATTTCTCTCCTGAGCCCCAGGCTCCAATTGACTTATATGTGGCTTTACCTGATGTCCCCACAGGTGCCTCTAAGTTAGCACATCCAAAACAGAAGGAGGTCATAACCTCCCTTCTAGTCTCCTATGTCTGGAACTAGTCCTGTTCCTCTCAGTGAAGGAATGCCAGTCTTTGGACCCATTTGCCTTTCTCTTCTTCCTCCCAGGCTTTCCTCCTATCTAGCTGAGGACCAATCCTATTGGTTCCCCTCTGTCTGGTACATCTCTATCTTCATGAGTATCAGTGCTTGCCATCTCTCACTAAGTCTCTTAAAGGAGTGTGTTTAGTGTTCTTCTTGCCACCCAAATAACCTTCTGAAAAAGTACAGCTAATCATGCCAGTGTTCGGAGTTCTGCAGGTCAAAGTCTAATTTCTTTAGATTTCACATGAGGTCTTTTATGCTGTCTCAGTCTCTCTTCCCAAAACCCTCTTCACTCACTTATATGTTGCTACTGGCGTATTTAACTTTTACCTTGATAATGTCAGTATTCAAATCCCTTAAATCCTTCCTTGTTTGTCCCCAAATTAGGTTTTTAGCTCGGTGATATAGTCTCTTCTTTTCATAGTCTAGAATTTACTGAAGATAATTTTTACACTGAACTCAATATGGTTTTTTCAAATTTGTCTTCTCTTGTTCTGCTCCATTTCTATCTGGAAAAGCTTCTAAAGTTTTAGTCACTTAGAACATTGTTAAAGCTTCACCTATCACCTATTTATATATCAGTAACAATAAATACATTAACTTCCTTTTAGATTTATTATTTTTAATCACATACCTCTGTCTGTCTGTGTGTGTGCGCGCGCGCACACGCGCGCGCACGCGTGCAAGAGTGCAAGTGCCCGTGGAGGCCAGAGGTATCGGATCCCCTAGAGCTAGAGTTACAGAAGGTTGTGAGCCAACTGATGTGGGTGCTAGGAATTAACTCAGGTCCTCTGCGAGAGCAGTAAGCACTCTTAACCACTGAGTTACCTCTCTAGCTCCCATATAGTAACTTCTTAGTTTTTTTGAGATAAGGTCTCCCTGTAGCCCCACCTTACCTGGAACTCACTATATAGACCAGGCTGTCCTTGATCTCATAGAGCTCCACCTACCTCTGCCTCCAAGTGTTGGGATTAAAGGTATGGTGGGCTCATACAGTAACTTCTTAACAGAGAAACCTCACTTTTTTTCCCTTGCCTTTATACCATCAATTCAGATAGCACCTGTCTCTCATGCACAGTCGGGCTAATACCAAAGGTGTACCTAGTAAGAGAAAAGCGCACAGGTGGTGGCCTTCACCAGTACCCATACTTCAGCTCATCCTCCATCCAGCTTTCCCAGGACTGTCCTCAAGACCTTCCTTCTCACACTTCCAGAAGATCCCTTCTTGGAAGAGAGGCTATCAGAGGAGGGAGCAGGAACCCCAGTGTTCACCTACCTCTGGAAAAGCCCACTGCAGCATGTATACGTCTCATAGGTTCTATTGGTGAAACTTGTATTCAGGAATGAGAGACAATCAGTTTCAGCTCCCCTGGGAACGTAGAGGATTCCTGGATAAAGGAGACAGATGTCACATGAAGAGGAAGATTTGGAACATGATCTTCAAAGTTCTTTACTGTTTGGTTGTTGAGTTGATAATATGATAGTTTAGCAGCCTTTTCAGTGTGTCTGTGAGATGGACACTTAAACCAGTGTTCTGAGATCCTGTGATTTCTGCCAAAAGACAACACTTAGGTACCTACCTGCCATGCAGGCACTGATAAAGGATACACAAGCCCCTGTAAAGAGGGCCCTGACCACAATTTTGCAGAAGTCGCTCTTCCTCTGAGGCACCACTGATGCTGCAAGAAACAAAACAAAGTAATTTATTCTCTTCCCCACACAGCAAGGAGGGGTACCCCATGAGAAGAATGTAGAAGAAAACACATCAAGTGAAGAGTATGCTTATGACCAGCCACTTGGTATCAATGTTACCCCAGAGGTGTGTATAAACATTAGTCTTGATATCTAACTCAGACACTTCCTAGGTCAAGTATTGTATATCCAACCCTCGCTCCAGTGATTCTGGAACCTACTTAAGAATTATCTGAATCAAACAAGGCTCTGAGTTGCTCAAAACAGGTGCAAATGCCTGGTGTTTGCCAGTTAATATCTACACTCTGGATTGGAATTAGATGGCCCCTTTTGAGCCAGAGGACTAGGGAAGGCAACATGCATCCAACCCTGGCCTTTTAAGAAACAAAAGGTTACCGGGTATCTGAATTAGAACAATACCAATAGATATTAAATAGAAGGGAAAAGACAAACCAAAGGGAAATTACTTCACCTTCAAATTGATTAATAAGCCATCCAATAAATAAATTGAATGATTCTATCCCAGAATACGACTGGGATAAATGACGTTTTTAACACATTAAGCTGTTCTTTTTATACTCCATTTCTTCTAAGACCCATTTCTAACTTGGATCATCCAAGTGCTTGGGATTCTGCTACATTCCAGAGTCCTCCAGCAGCACATCTCTCTCCATGGTAGTCTTACAACCATCACCGATCACCCATAGCCAGCAATCTTGCCAGAAGCCTGACTATCTCTGTCAGCTTCAAAGACCAAGTCCTTTAATAACTGGTGACTCTGTTTGTTTGTTTGTTTGTTTGTTTGTTTGTTTGTTTGTTTGTTCTTTTTGAGACAGGGTTTCCCCGTAGCCCCAGCTGGCCTGGAACTCAATACGTAGACCAGACTGGCCTTGAACATTCAGAGATCTACCTGCTGCTGCCTCCCAAGTGCTAGGATTAAATGTGTACACTACCATACCTGGCTGACTCTCAGCTTTTAGCTCAACAGTGAATGACACTCACTTTTACCATCTGTCTGCTTATTTGTCTACTGCTGTCTTTTGCCTTTTTGATTCTTATGATGTAAAGAATTCAACACATAGTCAAGTAGCAAGATTGCTGTAGCCACTGGGTGTTCACTCCGCATTCCCTGCAGCCTGAGGCCCCCTTCACGTTGGTTTCTCTATCTAGTCTCAACCTGTACTGCACACTGAAAAGGCTGGCATCTGCCTGGCTTACTGGGGAGCTAGGAAAGTTTAAGAACTCACTCAAGCATCCCAGTGTGATGCCTATGGAACTAAGGTTGGCAAATCCACAGAGGGAAAATGTTGTAATAATTTCAGCTTTTACCTAGGGAAAAAAATAAGTAGATTAGTTCAGTCCCATGTGTGTAGTCCTACAACCGTGGGGGATTTACAAGGCACTGAGAGTCCTTTTCACATTCTAAGGAGCATATAAAAGATACTCAGAGAATAACAGACTCCTGAATTACAACAGCAATAGCAATATGGTGATCGCCACAGGACTCCTTGCCCAACACTATTCTTGTTAAACTTATGAATAAGAAGGAATATGAATTGAGGATGGTTGAGAAAAGTGACCCTGTGGCACAAAGGGGAGACAAGGAGGTAAATTCACAGCAATTTAGACTTTAAATAAGGGACCTAGAGCATAAACAAAAAGTGTGTTCCCTGACTGTCCCCACCATAAAGAACCAGTAATTATACTAGAGAGCAAAATTAGGTCAGAGCGCAGGGGAGAAATAGTACATAGACCTTAGAGTAGGTAGCTCAGGCCATGGAGGTGAGGCTACTAAGCATATGGTTCTGCTTGCTCTGTGGCTGGGCCTAGGACACTAAAGCACCCGGGAGTCTACAACAGTCCTTTGTGTAACTCTCTGTCTTCCCCACGGTACCCATAGCCCAAAACCCACACCACTTAGGCTTTTCTGGATTGTCACATACAGAAATCCACTGTTTCTCGCCATTGATCCACTCTTCAACTCCAGAGAGACGTCTGTTCTTGTATTGAGACAGTTGCTGATAGGCTACAAACTCATTTATGAAGAATTTGACTCCCACTATCTCAGCCACCAGTGGACAGTCTGCCCACTCTACGCCCATCATGAAAACCATAGGCCTCAGGACATAGGAGCAGATGACCTGAGTGAAAGAGAGTACCGCAGGAAAAGGAAGAAGGAAGAGCAAGGTCAGGTGCGAGGAGCCCCTCTGCAGCCTTAGACCTCTCCTCTTCCTCCTGTTCCCCCTTCTCCCACTGTGCTTTCTCTTAGTTTACTGTTGTCAGGAGAACATGCCCGATAAATGCAATCCCTTACCTGGAAAGTGAGCCCGTGTATATCCACCAATTCCCCCAGCCAGGAGAGGGTAGCGTTGACAAAGGCCAACACAGCCAAGAAGGCAATCAGGTTGGCTGCTACATTAGCAACAAGGCTTATGGCATCTGTGGCTCCATTGCTGGCAGCTTCCAGAATATTCCTCTCCTCCCTGTGGTTATTGGGCAAAGGGAAAGAATATACTGCCTATGGTAGTCTCAGCTCCTCAGAGAAGAGGACTTTGTTGCCCCTGAAGTAGAGGAAGTAGGTACACAGCCAGTGTGAGAGGTGGTGGGATTCCTCACTGACCCAGTTAATGGAGATCAGTCTTACATCTGAAGACAGTCAGAGGTCATTTCCACGAAAGTCTGAGGCCAGGGACAAGGGGTACTGGCACGGAAGGTAGCAGCAGGTAGGAACATTAAATCAAAGGAAAAAAGTGAGTATGATTAGCTGGAGGTCAAGAGAAGCAGGCAGGTAGATGGAATCACTTTCTTCCCTCAGATTTAAAGTCTCTGCCTCCACAAGACTGTGCAGCACCTGTGTCCACCTCCCCAGTTATATGCTTCCCCTGACTCACCCAGGAGGCAGTTTCACTCCCTCCTTGCTCTTAAACTTGGACTCTTCTACTTCTGGATACATCAGCTTGGACAAGGCAAGAGCACAAGGGGCAGCCATCACTGAGGCAGAAATCAAGGATGATGCATCAATCTGTAAGGTGAGACTGAAGATCAGCATCTCATCTCCACAGAGCTCAACTTGGGTTTGCCAGTGATCACACACACACACACACACACACACACACACACACACACACAGTGCCTTACCCCAAAGGATATGAAGGCTCCCAACACAGTGCCTGCAATGGTGGCAAACCCTCCAGTCATCACTGCATGAATTTCAGAGAGAGTCATGTCTGCAAGGTAGGGACGGATGAGCAGAGGAGCCTCTGACTAAACACAAAAGAAAAACATGCCAAAGTGCCTATCCCAGGTAGGAAGTGCACCCATTAGACACATCCCTCTAGCACGTGCATTGTTCAGTGAGATAGCCCCACTAAGTGGACAATAAGCTCTGGCCTCAGGCCCCAGATCTGCCCATCACCTGTTTCCATATCACATTTTAAAGTTTTGAGGAAGATGGATGTTATTTTCCTTTATTGACCAAATCTAAAACCATGTACTTACTGAGTGAATTTATGTAATGCAGCACACTTAGTGAGTGCATATTTGATGCTTACAAAGAATGCATTAAATGAATTTAAAAATAGCTGATCTAAGCCAAAGCTTATTAAAGAATCAAAAGAAATAATGTAGGCTCAGCAAGATGGCTTAGCAGGTAAATGTTCTTGTTACCAAGCCTAATGACCTGAGTTCAATCCCCAGAATCCACATGGTGGGAAGGAGAGAATCAACTCTCACAAGTTGTTCTCTGACCTCCACAATCATGCCATGGCACTTAAGCAGCTGCACACGTGAGCACTCACAAGTAATAGAAAAAAATTTTAATATTTTATTTATTTTTATGTTATGTATATGAGTGTATTGCCTGCGTGTACGTGAGTGCACCTGTGTCATGCAATGCCGTGGAGGTCAGAAGAGGGCTTCGCAGTCGCCTGGAACTGGAGTTAAGGACGGTTCATAGCCACCATGTGGGTGCTGGGAATCGAACCCGGGTCCTCTGCAAGAGCCGTCAGTGCTCTTAACTGCTGAGTCATCTCTTCAGCCACCACCCCCTGCCAAAAATTTTTTAATAACTGAAATTTTTATGAAATCGGGAAGATTCAACTAGGAAACTATATCTAGTATCAACCTGAGATGCTGTTTATCCTTTAATGAGTGACAGCTGAAGATGCAGGGCTGTGCCAGCGGCTAGGACTGTTAAGAGTGAGGCCACATTCCTACTCTTAGAAGATTATAGTCTAGCTGGAAAAATTAAACTGATTATAGACAATTTTAGCAAAAATGGAGGGCTATGATAGACATATCCAGAAGTACACTGAAAACATCAAAAGTAGATAACCAGCCTAAAGCCTTGGGAGACAAAGACCTCAATGTTAACCCATTACCCATTTGACAAGCTGTTGTTCCTAATGTTGATTTGATTAGTCAATAGCACATACTGAACACTGTGATGGTTAATATTAATTACCAACTTGACAAGCTCTAGACTTGTCTAGCAGATAAGACTCTGGGCATGCCTATGAGATTAGGTTAATTAAAGTGGGAGGTCCCATGCTAAAAGTAGATGGCACCAGTCCATGGGTTTGGGTCCTGGTCTGCATAAAAAGGAGAAAACCAGCTGAGCACAAGCCATCACTGTTCTGCTTTCTGACTGGATGAAACATGACCACCTGCCTCAAGTTCCTGTTTGCCTGGACTTCCCCACCATGATGGGCTGTACTCTCAAACTCCGAACCAAAATAAACCCTTCATCCTTTAAGTTGCTTTTGTCAGTGTTTTTTCACAGCAACAGAAAAGTAACTAAGACAAACACCTGCTCCAGACAAGCACCCACTCCTAGTCCATGCAGGTGAATGAATAAGGCAGCTGTTAGGGAGAAGAGACTTGGTGTTAGTCGTGAGCAAGACTAAAAGGTTATTTGCCTCCTTAGAGGCCCTGCAAAACAAGGATCACAGAGATCACGGCAAGAAACAGAAAATAGCTCAAACACCTTTTATAGCTCCTGAAGGTGGATAAGGTTTACACTAGAGCATTCACCTATTTTCGTGGGTAAGAAGTGATCAGTGGCTAAGGTTGTCCATTTAGATTAAGTGTGCCCAGATAGCGATTGTTAAGAAGCAGAGGTGAAAGGGATGAGCTAAGTCCTCTTTGAGCCTCTGAGATTTCTTTCAGAAAGGATTGGCTGCCTCACAGTTTTCATTTATTTTATTTTTCATAAGAAAAACATGTATTTCAAGCTGGGTGTGGTGGCATGTGCTTATATACCCAGCACTTGGGAGGCAGAGACAAAAAGACCAGAAGTTCACAGTCATCCTCAGCTACATAGTGAGTCTGAAGCCAGCTTGGGCTACATGAGACTTTGTCTCAGAAAAAAAACAAACAAACAAAAAAGGGGAGGAAGGAAAGAAAGTAGAGAAGAAGCTAGGGAAAATTATATCTTTCTTGTTTTCTACCAAGTTCTCAGTTATCCAGAAAAAAGAAAAACAGACGGCCTCAGGGTACTTACCATTCCTACAAAGATGTTTCCTGCCACAGCGAGGGTCTCTGCAGCAGTGGTACCCATGGTGATTTGCAAAAACCAGGCAATCTAAAAGAATTAAGAGATCTAGAGCATCAACATCAGCAGGAATCTTGGACAATGCCCAGCAAAACCTCTCCTACTCCATGAGACCTAGAGAAATAGTGTGGCAGAGAGCTACAGACAAGTTACAAACAGACTTGGCCAAAACTCGGGCCTTGTGTTTTCTAGAACAAGTGATTTAAACTCAGTATGAAGCAATCATCCAGCCTAGCTTTGCTCCCTGTGCTGCCTCAGCCTATCTCAGGCCTGGGCGATCATTTGATATCAGGAGGCTTAGAAGGGTCTGCCTTTCCATTTTGATTTTAACCCTCTATGTACCATATATAAGCATCTTTCCCAAAGTAAGTGTCACCTCCATTCCCTTGAAAGATCCAAGTTAAAGGTCCTCTCCTGAGGAGTGTAGGAAAGTGACTCACCTTCTGAACTACCCACTGCACAAGACCCAGGTAGTAGAGAATGGACATCACGCATCCAAAGAAAATAATGATTGGTAAGGACTGTAATGAGAACGGGCAACTGGTGAGATATTATATTGTATTGTCATATGTGCCACAAGAAAACTGTTTCAGGCCTCTAGATTAAAGTCTCAGTATTCCAATGGTATCTGATATAGTGTACTTTACCAACGAATTCAAAAGGCACTGCAGACCTATTACTCCAATGGTATTAATCCACAGGATGTTTTCTACTCTTTCTCCCCACCCCTTCTTTAATCAATTTCAAGATGATTGTGATCACAGGAGGAGAGCTGGATTCTCTTAGAGTCCATAGGTATAGAGACCAGCTGATCTCTTGATCACATTCTCATCTTCTGCCTCTCTCCCTGACCCTTCCACCTCTTTTGTCATTCCTGCCCACAAAGTAAACATTACCTGAAAAGCAAAGACATTTTGGACCAGTGAATCACCAAAAACAAAACTGGAACCCTCCACAGTGTACTGCAGGAAAATCTGAAGGAAGCAAATACAAAGAGTAAGAATAAAGCCAAGAGGACACAGGGGAAGCAGGGAATCGGCCTGGTGTGACCACCGTGGGCAGGCTATGTCCCCAAGCACTGGTCACTGAATGATGGACTCAGCAAGTCAGCTCTCTTCATCTGTATTCCGAGCTGTACTCCATAACTTTTTCCTCTTTCCCAACCAGATCTCCCAAAACCATTGTTAAGACATAGCCTTAAAGCATCAAGCTTCCCTCTAATCTACAAGGATAAAACCCTCACATTCGGTTCCCATACCTGGATCTGATCTCCCAGCCACTGGAATGCATTAAAGCCAGGCTCAGTTCTGATGACCAAAATCCCAAAGACAAACTGAAGACCCAGGCCCCAAAACACTGTCCTCCAGCACACCTAGAAGCAATAAGAAGTTAATCCGATGTGAGCTCTAAACTTTACTGGACCATCGCCTGATTGTAATGTGCACTCTGAGTGGAACTAACCCAGGATGTTAACAGTCAGTCTGAGGTAATGCAGCATAGAGAGCAGGGAGAAGGCACAGAGAAACAGGGCGATGGTGTGTGAAGGGCCAAAAACGTCCGTATCTGTTTTTACAATGTTTCTAGAAGTTAGAGACACTTAATAACACATACAACATCATTATGTACAGTGCTTCCTGATTCTCATATTCACATTTTCTTTCCTCCTTTCATTTTTCCTTCTATTCTTTTTTAATGCCAACTAGATCCACTTATTAATAGATCACAATCAATCCTTTTAAAGTAAATGGTCTAGGGTTTCTAAAAGCTTTCAAGCTTGTCTTAGGAATAAAACTATCAGAGGAAAATTCTGAGACTTAGTTCTATGCATCATGAATACTTGACATATGTACTTTGTAATTATTACTTAGCCCTTGCTGTGTATTGTCATGCCCAATATGAATACCCAAAACTCACTGCACTGTGGTGTTTGGAGCAGGCAAAGAGGATGAGGATGAACATAAAGATTCCTCCAAAGGAGATCAGCTGCTCTGGCCTTTGGGCTGTGTCTAGAGCCAGCCACAGGATAAGGCCAACAAAGGAGGCTCCTGAGAACACCCTAAAGAAAGAATGTCAAAGCCATGTCATCAACTCAGCAAACAACTACCCCTGAAAAATCAAAATTTACCCTAAGGAAAGGTCAAGTAACTCAACAGCTTACTTTTGGTTAGACAGAAATATATCTTCAGAATTATCTGATAGTTCCTTAGCTTCTACTCCCGCCCCCCACAAGTTACAGAATTAAGTTTCTAATCTGGGGATACAAATCATACAACTTCCCCTTTCTCATATTTCCATAATAATAAAATGTGATATAAAGACTCATTCTTGAAGATGATTCCAATGACTAATCAAAATTCAGAAAACATAAAAAAGCATACTTTGGTCTCCCATGGGCCACTGCTCGATTTCTAACCACACCAAAGGCAGAGTGAAAGAGCAAAGAATCAGCTAGTTATGGTCTTTTCATGTACCAAACATATTTCAGTACACATCCAGGAGTCTAGGGATGTAGCTCAGTAGTAGAGCACTTGCCTAGTATGTACAAGACCCTGGGTCTAATCCCCAGCACCATCAAAATAAGTAAATATCCAGTTGTGGTGGTACAAGCCTTGAGAAGTAGAGGCAGAAGAAATTCAAGGTCATCATCAAGGCGAGTTTGAGACCAGCCTGGATTACATGAGACTCTTTCTCAACAACACCCAGACTGACTTCCTCAAATTTGAGGGAAAGGAGTTAGAACGGAGAGCACATGAAAGTAACACACAAAAAAGCACATTATTCATTGACATACCACCAAAGCAAAATAACAAGAAACATTACATGACTGGGCTGAAGTTCATATTTTTTATAAAGTTCTCTCTCTTATAGTGAATGAAATCTGACTTCCAAACTCCATCTTGTTTTAGATAAAAATCACTTTAGCTCTACCTCCCTATTGTCAAATAAATCAGTGATCCAAACTTGGATGGTAATCTGTTATTTCTCCAAATTACCACTATTGAAAACCTTAACACTTATTTTCTGTGCATCCATTGGAAAATGGACAAAGGGGAGTTTTCTAGAAAGTCTGGCCTAAGGTCAAACATGCTGCAGATGGATGAGCAACAGCTGCTCTGGAATTCAGTCCAGTTATACTGATGAGCAAGTTTGCTCCTAAACTCTAAAGAATTAGGAAAGATCACAGCAGGCACAGGAAGTCCAGGACTAGAGGGAGAGGTGTCACCTTATCAAACACAACAAAAGGAGACAGTCAACTTGATTAAACTGCAAGTGTCTGTTTCAATTGCTTCATTGAGGAGAAGCATGGGTTTTCTCATTCTGTCATGGACTCTTGGGATACTGAGACTGAAAGTCTTCTCCAAAGTTGAGCCCCTTCTGCCCCTAGCAATGTTCACCCAAGGCTATTAAAGCTGGGCTGAGATGTGCTGCTCAGAGTCCTCTTACTATGTGTCCTCTACACTTTGGCTTTGTAAAGTGTAGGTAAGGGCCTGGAGACTCAGGAACTATCAAAAGAGAAAAATTAAAATATCTGGGTATGTTACTCAGTTGGTAGAATGCTTACCTAGTATGCAGAAGGTCCTGGGTTATGCAGTCCTCAGCACTGCCTAAACTAGACGTGGTAGTACTTGTAATCCCAGTCTCAAGAGATGGAAGAATCAGAAGTTCAAAGTCATCCTTAGCTACATAGAGAGTTTTGAGGCCAGAATGGGCCAGAGACTCTGTCAAAAGGGAGGGAAGGAAGGAAGGAAGGAAGGAAGGAAGGAAGGAAGGAAGGAAGGAAGGGGTCAAGAGAGGGTGAGAGGAGAGAGAAAAAGGTGAGAAGAGGGGAAGGAAGGGGGAATGAAAGAAGCAGACCAGGCCTTGGGATAAACTGGAGGGCCAGTGATACTGAGATTCTCATCTTACCATTACAGTTTGGATCTAAAGTGTCCCCCAAAGACTCATGTGCTAAAGGTTTGGTCCCCAATATGGCAATCTTCAGAGGTAGGGCTTCTGAGAAATGATTAGATCACAAGGGCTTTGATCTCAGTAATGAATTAATCCTTTGATGTGCTCCAAATTTAAAGGACTATTGGGAGGTGGTGAAAACTGTCAGAGATGGGGCTTATGTGGAGGAAGCAGGTCACTGGCGACATGTCCTTGCAGAGTACATCTTGTCTCAGATCCTTGCCTTCTCTGTCTCTTTGCTTCCTGGCCTCCATGATGTGAGCAGCTTTGTCACCACAGTTCACTCCCTACCATGTAGTTCTGCCTTACCACAAACTAACAGTAATTGACCCAAGTGACCATGGGCCATGGCCTCTGAAATTATGAGCCAAAATCAACTTTTTTCTCCTTCAAGTTGGTCTTAGGTATCTTGTCATAGAATCAAAAATTGATTAGCACACTTACCATTTCATCCAAAGTTTCAGGCGGGAGTTTTTAAAGGGCTTCAGACATCTTATCAATTTTTTACCAAAGAACTTTTTCAGAAAGTGGGATGCCAGGACAAAGACAACAAAACATGTGATGACAAACAATGCCAACGCCCTCTGGAAATTCAGGATGCAAGCCGCCACGAAGTAGGCAACATATGCTAAAAAGAGACGGCAGAAGGGAGTGAGCCAGGCAGAGCTTCCACACGGAACGCTCTCTACCCGCCCTGCTGTGGAGTGGGCTGCACATCTATGGCAGTCTCTCTCTGCTTGCCCCTGAGGATATCACACTAGCTCTCCTTCTACCTCAGTTAGTCAACATCCACTGTTAGACTCTTCCAAAGTCAGTCATCTCTTCCTGTATTTTTATTATCTCAATTATGTTAAAATGTCAGATGATCAAATTTCTCCCTTGAGTCACACCATGTAATGGAAGCCACAACGGCAAAGAAAAGCCACGTGGCCTTTTCCTCGATGCTCCCTGATACTGCCCAAAGTAAAAATTTGGTCTCACTAATCACCTGCATCTGATACTGATATCAAAGTCCCATATGTCACTGACAGTATACTCTAAACAAGGTTTCCTGTCTTTCAAAAGCATCATACAGCCCTGATTTTACATATAAACAAGCAAATAAGTAATATATAATACAGGCTTCTTTCATAAAGACTACAAGAAACTATGCCCTGAATCAAATCAAAGCACTAAAAAAAAGATTCAAATAAAAAAGAATTATTCTCTGAAGGATTTTAAAACTATAGGTATAATATATAAATATA